AGAGGTTAAGCTCCCCCTGGCGGTTTTACAAGGTGACGCCGGATAGTTTCCGGCAGAGCGTCAAATGACGCACGATTAACCACGTGACACCGCGTGATACCGCGACACGCCCACCGGGGTAAGCTGCGAAATACCTCACACATTTTGAATGGCTGCATCTGTAGGCCTTTATTAACTCTGATTTTCATGCTTTGTAAATGTTTTCTCAAAATGGATTTAACACAGACTCATAGATTATAGAGCGAGACCAACACATTAACAGATGTCAATTTTTGTTTTGCTAAACATGAATTCTACGCACTGTAGAAGAGCAACACAAGCTGTCTTTGGCACACCTAAGTGCTTTATAGAACACCCTTTGAAGAGATCCACAGCTTACTCAACTACAAGAACACAACTGAAGGTATACTAGATATTTTTGGTAAACGTAGATGTGTTGAAGACAGTGTGTATGCAGTTCCAGGCTGTTGACTCCGTTCATCCAGAACAGTGGTAGAATTGCAGTATGGTCTGTAATGAATGTGCTGTTACAGTATTCTGCCACTTATAAGCATCGACCACATTCAGACTAAGCCTTATGAACAAATTTCCTAATTACCCACCACACATTGGGTTGATATATATTATTAAGAGGCATTTGTTAAGGCTTTACAAGCCTTTTACACATTGTTTGCAGCACTTCAAAGATTGAACCTATTCATGCCTATTCATGCAAAATAATGTGCAGTAAACTATTAAAAGACATTAATAAAGCTCTTGTTCCCAGCGTATTAATGTTTTTACAGTACCCCATGTAAAGTGTGAACCTATTCATGATTATTAATGCAAAATCATGTTGCAGTTAACTATTAATATAGATTAATAAAGCTCTTGTTCCCAGCATATTAATGTTTTTGCAGTACCCCATGTAAAGAGTGTACCTATTCAGGCTTATTAATGCAAAATCATGTTGCAATAAACTATTAATAGACATTAATAATGCCTTCATAAACCACACATTAAATGTGCCAATTATACAGAGCACATTTTCAAAACTAGATTCTTTTAATTACAATAATTGTAACCACTTTCTTACTTATAAAGATATTTTGCAAATACAAAAAACAGAAATCTTGGACAACGTAACTTTACAGTATCTTAATGAAAAGTATTTGTATTTTACACAGAAATTAAATATAACAAATACCCTACATTTTCAACAACAGCACTGAGGCATGGTAACAAAGTAAGCATTACTATTAATACAGAACAAATAGATAAAATTAAATTTGAAAGTCAGTTAACAAATTCAAAAACGGAAAGATTAGAAAAATCTCCCTACAGGAATGGTGAGCTCAATAATTTCAAAAGCCATGGAAAACTTACAATGCTTCAGATTTCCTTTTGTTGCCGCCAATGTACAGGTTATTTATGTACAGATATCAGAAGTGGCATTAAATGAAAAATAGTGTAAGAAACAATAACGTGATAAATTAAAAGTGTAAAAAATGTATAGTATTTAAATGCACTGAAACAACTTTAACTCTTGATCTAATTCAACACTTAACAAGTCTTCTTCTTCAGAGGGAGCAACTTGCCTTCCATTTTAATTTTTTTCAATTCTGGATTTTAATCAATTTTGACTGTTTTAATTGAAGACTGTGTTACAGGCACTGACAGAATAATCCTGTAACAGG